ATAGCTCAGAATCAGGGCAACTTTCATGCACATGTGACCTGGACAATCACAGAGGACTCTCTGTTTGTAGCAGGACCTTAGTGGGTGCTTTTAAATATCTCATCTTATTGGAACTTTATAACATCCTTTCAAGGTAGACTTTATTCATTTCCATTTTATACCTGAGGCATTGAGCCACTCAACACATGTCACTCAGCTTGGTAGTGGACCTGCCTGACTTGAAAGCCTGTGATATTTGGAGAAAATTTGAGCACCCAGAAGGAAATAGTATTCATTATCCCATAAGGCCCTTCCAAAGTCTGGTCTATGCCCTCAGAGTAAAAGTCCCAAATGATTTCAAATGTTGAAATAACTAAGAGAGAGCAGTGTGGGAGGATGGTGACTGGAGAAAAAAATGTACTGCATGTAGGAAAAAATAGATATATATATGATGTAAAAGTAGGATCGGAGTTCATTGAAATTTTTGCAAAATTACAAAATTTCTATGTCAAATGGACTGGATGGGAATACTTGTTTATATGGCAGTTTCTATGCATTGAATTAGTTTCCTACAGACACAATGGTAGATAGAATTACCAGCCAGAACACAAGGCCCATTAAACTTCACATCACTGATCAGCTTTAGTTTGAGTTGTGCATGCTCTGCACTATGCCAGAGAAGAAAGAAGAAGATTTCCCCTCCTTTCCCTAGGTACAGGAACCACTCTGGATACAATTTTGAAAACTTGGAATGATGGGAGCCAGGGCATCCAACTGCTCCACTTTCAATGTGGCAAGTTTTAACCAAACACATTGAGCTGTCTTGAGAGTGGAAAGACAAAAACTAAGTCCTACAAAAGACTACTTTTATGTGCATGTAGAATAAATGGGTGAAACGGAATGACCCGCCTTACTTTTAGAATAATCAAATCCTTTCTTTGTAATCAAAAAAATTGCAGCTAGACAGTTTGTCACTTAATATCATCGATCAGAACTTTGATTAGTTAGTCCCTGTTTCTAGATAAAACATTCTATGTATGAACTTTTAAACAAACTTTTATATTGGACATTGTGGCTTCTCTGTACCTGGTAAAGCTTTTTTTTCTTATTACATCACTCACTCCCGTGACCACTCCTTTGCTCAAGCCTCCGTCCTCACTACTGACCGGTTCCTAGCATTTGTTTAAAATGCAGACTGAGCTTCTCTTCCCACATGAAGCCATTCCCAGTTGTATTTTCTTCATTGTTCTCAAGACTATCTGAAATTCACTTATTTGTTCATTTTATTGCAAATTGTCTCCCCATCGTCTAAATACAATGTAGACTGTGTGGGGGCAGAAATTTTGCATTTTTCGCTGCTGTATCCTTAATACCAAGATCAAGGCTTGGACCATGGGAGCCGCGTGGTATTTAATAAATTAATGTCTTTGGACTAAGTTTTTAGCCCTTTATGCAGACTTAAAGTACTATACAATTTCAGTGTCTGTAAGTCTTACTGCCTTGTCTAGTAAGATTTTTAAGAGCAGGATTATATCTAATATATATATATATAAATGAACATACATATATATTAGATTTGAATTGAAATAATACCTATGTTTTACACATATATAATTTTCCCTTGCAGTTACATCTAATTAGCTCAGTGAATGTACTAGAGGAGTTCTTTGCATAATACATTGGTCCTCAAGGTGTTGAGTGTTATTAAGAAAGTGATGATGAGAGGAAATGAAAATAGCTTGTAGTTACCTTTTTAGGCATCAGTGACTTACAAATGCCCGACTTTCATATCTGCTGCTATGAATTTTCATATCTGCTGCTATGGTTTTGATTTTAGGTGACCGATAGAAATTATCTCATTTTAAGAACTTGGATTTTATTTGAAAATGTCTTTCCAAGTAAATAAATTTCATTCTAGTGGGAAGATAGAGTCCACTGCCTCTAAAACTTCCAGTGAAATCGTTTCAAACCTTCATCTGCATTTATTCACTGAAATCACTGGAGCAGTTTGATCACGTGGCCATGTAACACTCAGTTTTTACCAGGTGTATGGCCTGACTTTTCCAACTTTGGTAACCTCATTATCATGTGCAGTTTGAAGTTCGTTGAAATTTACCTAGCAGCCTGCCCAATCAGTGTTTTCTCTGTCTTTTGATAAAGGTTGATTAGGTTCGTTGCCCATAAAATGTAAAGATATATAATGAATTTTCAATTTATCAAAATAGTTTGTACCTGAGATTCTTTATTCTCTCCTCTTCCACTCGTGACGCTGGATTTTAATCTCCCGGCCCTGGGCTTGTTTCCGACATAGTGCATGCCACTGGGCTAGTCAGTCAAACACAGTGGATCCCTCAAGTTTCTGTGCTGTATTTCCTCACTTGCAGTATTCTTTGGAAAAAGGTTCCGGTCTTTGTTGAGGATTCTAGTTTACTAAATTTTAGTTTACTAAAATTTAAATTATATCTTGCTGACTTCAAAAAACAAGAAGTCGCTTACTATGAGATCAATATAAAACATCTTTATTTTCTAGAGTTCATAACCCATGCTATCTTCCCACTTACTTCTATGGGTGTTTTTTTAATTTTTGCTTTGCAAAATGGCCTTTCAACTCCCCTCAGGTTGAACTACACAATTCACCGATCTGCTGGGTGTTGCCTTGAATTCCCCTTACGATTGCGCCTGTCTGGGTTTACTCTCTCGCAATAGTGCTCACTTTCCTGAGGAGCCAGGGGCCTGTCTTTGATTTAGCCGAGCTCCTCTGCTGCACTTACTGAGGACCTCAACATGGATTTCATGCAATTAACTGTTTCCCTGTTGGACCAGTGGCGACCTGTATTCTTCCCACTGCCTATGTGTTTGTAGGTGAAAAAGAGAGAGGAACTTTCTTGAGCCATAAATAAAATGTGTCTTTACTTTGAAAAGAAGGGAAGCTTTCACCAGAGTCTTTCACCAAAAGCTGGTTAACAGATTCCTAAGGACTCCCTCTCCTAAGGTTTACGTAGCACTCTATATAATCCCATGGCAGCCTCACAGCAGCTCTCAGAAGTGGGTTTTCTGTTTTACTTCTTATGAAATTAAGCTTAGGGAGTCTTCCTGGCCCAAATATGTTGGGCATGAAAGAATTGGGACTTGAAACCAAGTCTTCTTACTCTAAGGTTAGTATTCATTCCAGCATCTATTCCACATCTGGCTCTATGAGGAAGCTTCTGTAGAATCAAGTCTGAAGCCTAAACCAAACCCCAGACTGAGCTGGGTTTTTTTACCCTGTTGCTCCCTGGAAGCACGGCACACTGCTGTGGGATGGGAGCCATCAACATGGATGCATCTACCTGTAATTACTCAGGCGCCTACCCTCCTATCCTGGGGCTGAAGAGTCCCACCTCTTAGACAAAATGGGGCACCCTCCTATGTTACGGCACCGCTTCAGGCCTGTGGTGGCCAAGGGCCTGGGGGAGTGGCACAGTGTGAGCGCCGAGTAAGCCCCGGAGAAACCTGCCTTCGGCCATCGCTCATTCACACACTTGCACCCGTCCGCAGTCTGTCCCACAGCATGGCCATGAGGGCTGCGAGCGTGTTCTCTGCTAGTTAAGGTTTCCTAGGGTCTGATATAGCGCCTGGCACGCGGTAACAATATTTGCTGAAAACAAACTTTTCTGGCACAAAATATAATAGTTAATCTTCAAGTTCTAGAATATCATATAAAAATATATGGACCAAAAAAGACACTAGAAAGTGTCTTCTCAAATTTTGATGTTTGGATTCAATAAGGCCTTTTATAAATTCACAAAATTCAGGGGGTCTGCCCCTTAATTCAGAAAGCTCTACATCAAGCCATATCTGACTAAATCTAGGTGTTGTCAGTCTGCAAGACTGAGTGAAAAGAATATTCTCAGGTTTATACGAGGCTTATTAAAAAACTTAAAAATGATAATACAAAATTTGAACTTTGCAGGTTTAGTGGGAATTAAGACACTGGGTCAGTATGTATCTGCGAGTAAGTTTTAATATCAGTATATAGCAAGCATTCACTTGGAAACCACACCACACCCAAATGTTATGAGGTATCCCAATGGCCTCCTTGCAGTTAGTTCCCAAATGTAAACGTCTAGAAAGTAAAGGCGAGGGCCAGCGCGGCCTCTGATGCTTAAGCCTTAGCTGCCCAACTCGGCCGCGGCCCCCAGGCCCCAGCCGCCCTTGAGCCTCCCTCACGCCCACCCTCTCCCAGCGCCGTCAAATACTTGACTCTCACTAATTCTTTCTTAGAAAATGTGCGAAAAGGATTTCCATGGAGGCCTTCGGAGACTTCCTGTGTCCTCATGTGTGTAATAGTGTGGATCAGGTAACAGCGCAGGAAGGAGAAAGAATGGGGGTTTGGTTTTACATACTTTCGTCCTCCTGGCCATTGAGGGGGAAGAAGAGGAAGGAAACGGCCCCATACAGATGGTATCAGCCTTAAATTAAATTAATATCGTGCGTTTGACTGTGGCAGCCATAATCTTTTGATTATTGAAGAGATTGTTGGTAATGAAGTACATTTGTAAGAAATATTTTTAGTGTATACTGAATACGTGTTCAAACCATGAGAAATGCGTCTAATAAAATGATAGATTTAGCAATTGCCTGGCACCTAAATTCATGCTTTTCAAACAGCTATTTATAGAAAGGAAAGTGATATTTAAGCTCCCATAGTAGAATATTATAATCTGCTCTATATTACCTTAGGTAATAGTCCCATATTTTAAAATAATGTTGCAAGCCATTCAATTATTTATTCACACCTAAGTTATATAAATTGGAAGATTTTGGATTGTGCAGGAAAAGAATTATTTTCACGAAAGTAAGACCTCACTGTCACAGCTTAAAGAGATTGCTGTGAAACAAGTTATACTATAGATAAAAATAAACCAAACCAGCATGAATTTTTAATAAACAAAATATTTTATGGAGACATTAAAAACAACTATTAATTTTAATCACTCTGGCCGCGCTGCACGCTTCATACGTATTTCTCCTCCTGATAGGACCTCAACACTTACAGTAGACTCTCCGCGGACCTGGATGATGACCTCAGCCTGGGGAGAGCCTACGAAGCAATAGCCAAGGTCCTGCAGAGGTAAGCTAGCACAGCCTTGTCTTCCTGTCACTGTGAATTCACTCAGCTGTGAAAGACTTAAATTGTTTGAGGTCTGTCGCTTTCCATTACTGCCTGCTTAAATTTTAAGCAGTGCCCTTCTTAAGTGACCCTTTCATCACAAGTTATTTTAAACCAATGTGATATTTTAAGATATTCACCTAAACTCTTCTTTGTCTGTTCCTCCTTTGTATTACTTTATTTTTGATTTTCTGTACATTTAGGGATGACCTTGAATGAAAGGGAAAAATCAGGTCACATCTCACAGGTTAAAAAAGCAGAGAGCACAGAAATATATAGTACGCTTCAGTAACTGTGGCTCACCTTAGCCTTTCCCGATCTCCTCTTTGAGGAAACTTTCCATTTATGCTTCAGTCATGTGTCTTCCATTAAGACATCTCTCCTTTGAGCATATCTGGAGGAACAATTGGGTGCAAAATGATATTCCTAAAACTTCATTTAAAACAGAAAATTTAACAAAAGTATACAGGAAAAACTTCTGATACAAGTTTTTCCATGGAAAGTATATGATTGGGCCTTGCCTGGTGTGGCTCAGCACTGAAAGGTTGCTGGTTCGATTCCTGGTCAGAGCACATACCCAAGTTGAGGGCTTGATCCAGGTAGGGGGTGTGCAAGAGGCAGCCAATTGATGTTTTGCTCTCACATCGATGTTTCTCTCTCTGTCCCTCTCCCTTCCCCTTTCTCTCAAAATCAATTTTTTAAAATCTTAAAAATAAAAAGTATATGATTGGCCCTTCATTCATTGTACACTCCATTTCATCTTTGCATTATATAGGAGCATCATCATAATTTAAGCAAAGATAGTCTAAGAATAAGAAAAGTTATCAAAGTTAAGGCCTTGTTTTTTGTTGTATCTTATATACAAGATATAGCTTTTTAATAATGGTAGTAGTGCTAATAATAATAGATATAGATTGTGTCAAGTTCTAATTTCTTCTCATTTGTATTTCACTTGTAAATATATAGAGTGGTGTTTTAAAAGGTAAAATTGTTATTCGAAAGTCATTTAAAACATTGCATGCCTAGTGAACTAAAAGTAGATCATCATTATATAATTACCATTGCCAATATAATAATCGTTAAATATTAAATAAATAATTAATTAAATATTAAAGTCTAATACCAATGAAATGAAAGGTGCCCTACAAAATGCCAAATAAAATGCAAGGCAGTCGTCACTGGATGCATGGTTAGGGATGTGGACATATTTATAAGGAGAGAATGGATCTTTACTCAAGGAAGGCAGAACCACATGAGCGTTGTGGTTCCTCCAAGTAAAGATTGGTAACTAACCCATGGAAGATCAACCCAGCTGTCCCTTACACTTTTAGTTTACAAATAACCACCAGAAGAGAAGCAAATGCCTGAACACAAAGAAGAGATCCGTAAGTGTTCAGTTTAATGTCTATTTGGAACACACAGACCCTGTGGCCTTTTGCCCAGCTCATTTTGATTATTAAATTACTTGACTCTACTGTTAGCATTGCCCAGAATCAGTAAAACTGGTTGGATTATTTGTCTTGCTTTGTAGTAGCAGACCTGTCCTGAGCTTGTACAGTTAAATAAATGTATCCTTTAATGTGTTTATAAAATAATTTTTACGAAATGACATTGTGTCTCAACATAACTAAAGAGATAAAACTCCAGGGAAAAATATTTTCTTTTACAAATATATTGAGCACTTAACTATGTCACAGGACCAGACAAGTGTTGAAATGCTCCTTTGGTTACAAAAATATAATTATTTTTGAAATTTCTGGATGCATGAGTTTTTCTCAAAATAATTCTCACCTGCTAACCTGGTGTTTCATCCAGAATATTTTAGTGTCTCCACTCCAGGATCTGAATTCCTGGTCTATACAGTAAAAGCTAAGGGGTAGTTGAACAATTACTGGTAAGTACTGGCAATAACAACAACAGACAATCTAATGTTCAAGTATTACTTGGGCTCCAGGTGTAAAAAGGGCACAGCCGGATTTGACACATCATGAAGTAGGGTGTGTTTTGGGTAGTCTTAGGGACAATTCACTTCCAACGTTCTCAGCAGTCCAGCAACCTGCCTTGGGGCAAATGTGTAATGGGCAGGAAGATTTATCCGTATCTCACTTTTATGCCAAATGAAAGGAATTCCACTTATAAGAATTCCCATCTACCAAATTGCAAATGAAACCATCAGTGATTTATATGGTGGACATGGGTGTTTAATTTAATAATGTTATGCAGTGCACAAGAATACAGGAGCTGCTGCTTCTGAGGTCTTAGGGCTAAAGTGTTCCAAGGCACAGCAAGCTCTCCAGTCCGAACCTGCCATTTGCAGCGTTGCTGGTGGTTATGGAAGAGCCCGTGGGAGAGTGTAAGCCTCGGCCTGTTCTTTCACCATGAGTGTAAAATAACTCTCGAGATGGACAGATGTTTCAAAAATAAAAATTCTATACAGGCAGACAACAGCACCCAAAGTATCTGAGAAGCCTTATTAAATCAAGCCCACTACCTACTGGAAATGCTTTTATATGGATTTAGCGGTAGTTTTTAAAAACATTTTTGCTTCAAGGGCTTGGTGTTTTTGATATATGCACACATGCACACACACACATACACACATACACGTATATCCCTTTCATACTCTGAAACTGTCCTCTGATTAGCAGAAATGGAGCACAACCAAAATAGAGGAAATGACAGTGGTGTGGGGCTGAGAAATCAATCAAACTGCATATGGAGCTTAGCATCACCTCTAAATCTCTTTTTCCCAACCTGTGCAGTTGCACATGTTTCGCTAATGGGAAGCCCTCTCTCTATAAACATATTTTATCTCTTTAAAGGAAATGGAAGAGGTTAGCCACGCCTAGGATAAGTGTGTGTCTAAGGCCATCCGCTGAGCGTGCATGAAAGGTGAATAAGCTTTGAGGCTGGAAGCTTCCAAAATCATTATAAGAATTTATACTGTGACTTCAATTGAAAAACACAGCCCATTCCCTCAAGACCGAGGACTTCGCAATGCAGAGCTGCTCAGTTGGCGGTGCTAGAGCTATCCCTGGTGTTAGGGTTATTGATGAAGGTTTTAATAGTGAACAGGGTTTGTTATTTTTGCTATTGGTCTGAATAACATTAAGCAGCATAACAGCAAATAAGCATTTACAATGTCTTTTTTTCCTACTTGAAATACTAGCGAAAAAAAGAGTCAGTATTCTAAAAGAATACCAGTTGCCCACGACGCAGCTATAAAAGTGAGAATTATAGTCCATAAAACGAAGAGAAAGTGAGTTGAGAAATTACCAAGTAAATATTAATATTATATGTAGACAGACAATCTGAGTAAATATAGAAGGGGGATAACCTCAATTTTTCTTACAGCATTTTTTGGCCTCATTTTCTGAAATAACTCATTTACCAAAATGGCACAACTCTCCAACATAATCTGGATGGCTTATAAAGGGGGAAATAATTTCAAAAATGAAAGTTGTTCAAGATACCCTGGTCACAGTGAAGCCTGAGTTTATTCCATACCAATTGTAAATGTTCTTGTAAACTTGGGTTAAATTATTTCCTAGGAAACTTTCCACAGTGGACATCTTTCAATCAATCAGCACAAAGTTTCAAGTGTGAAAATTACCTTTCGGTTATAGCTGAAAATTAATATCTTCTTGCTTGAGAGAAATGACATGCCCTGGTAATTTCCATATATCCTTTAAAATGGAACATCCAGGCTTCGATGCGAAATCTCCTAAAAATGACCCCCCAAAATACATCAAAACATTTCTATTAATTCATGAAATTAAGGGTAGCGTTTTACATTTTCTCCTGTCACTGATTCCATTTGCCTTATTACTTTCATCTGTGGCCCACAAACTTGGTGGCACAATCAACAAACCCCTCAGCGGCCGCTTCATCTCTGCTCTATTTGATTTCTCCTCTCTGAGTAAATGATTAAGTTTTCATGCATTGGTTCAACCAAAATCTATGTTCACTCAACCACGTCCTTTATTGATTACTTCTACTGCAAACAGTAGGCCAAGTGTGATATACATAATTGGACAGTTGTCGGGGGATGTGGGTGTTAACAGTCCTGTTTTCCCAGTTGGAAACTGGAATCACCTTGATACACAAATATTCTGCACTGTTTCATTCTCATTCTTTGGACCGAGGAGCCCTGTTCCTCAGAATATATGTTTTTAACTCTCTAAGGCCTGGCTGAATGAATCTAATGATTATACCATATAATGTGCTGCTCAAGTTGCACCTGTGCACTGCATATAGAAAACTGGAATTAATATTTGTCTAACATTTTAACCTTGTACTTGAATGATCAAGTAACCCATAGCTTTTCTGTGAGAAAAAATATTTATGATTCTTTCCCTTCTAAAGGAAGACTGGCTTCTAAATCCATGGCTAACTTGTAAATTTAGAAATCCTTTAAGCAACATATAATGTTTATATTTCAGATGCTCTATTAACAGCTTTGCTGGCTACAGAACTGTGCATTCGCTTAGTGGAGCATATAATTTATAATAGAAAGACTTCTTCTGTAGCATTATTTGTTAGAGCAAGTTCCAGATACTTTTAGATGTTTTGGAGATCGGTTGCTCCCTTGGGAGAAAAACAACTCGACTCACCCAGCAATAGTTTTATTTATACTATTTCGTATTTCTTATTCCCTGAACTTGTGTTTCTTTTGTTTGTTTGTTTGATTGCACATGTTGTGATTTAACAATCCTCAGCAGGCCAAACTTAATCCAAAATGTACTTCCATCAAAAGTATATCAGCTTCTAGGAACATGAACATAAATAAGCTTCAGTGAGCCCATTTTAGCTAAATAAAAATAATAATTTTTTCCTAAGGTTTAAAGTGATATTCAGAGAAGTCTCTACTTGTTTCTTACATCATCAGTTTTTTCTTGAATACTACAATACAAGAAAGAGCTTGGAGAGTTAACATCAATTTTTGTAAAACATTTTTAGTCCTAGAAATTTACAAGTTTGCTCAAAATTCTAAAATAGTATGTTTTATTTATTAATATTTTTATACTCTTCAGCTCTCTCAATACCATTTTAGTTGTTCTACAAAGCAAATATTTAAATCAGTGGGTGTGCCTCTCAGGGTATTTTATCCCACGTCTGCATTTGAAATAACCCTCAAACAATTAATTTTTTTTCCGGTGAACTGAGCTATGCTTAAGTGTGGAAGAAGATTATTCATAATTTTATTATGAAAAAGTGAACAGAATCAATAAAAGGCAATATTAACTTTGGGAATGTGAAATTCCATTCTATTCTGACATGTAGACCATTGTTTTACCCATAAGAAAAAAGAATGCATTTGATAGTACCTGGTATTCAAGTAAACAAAAAGTGTTAGTTCTTTGACCTGGGCCCCTAGAAAGCAGACACCAGGGCTTTATTGGCCTATCTGTCTTGCAGAGTGTCTGTTCAAATCATGCCGTTTCATTCATTGCATAATGAAAGATTTTCAAAAAGTGATGTTTAGCTAATTTGGCTTTTCTTCTCAGCTGGTGGTAGATTCTATCAAGTAGAGAGCTGTGGGTATGATAGCTTTTTACTTCACTGCGTGGTAATAATACTGTCATTTAATGAATCTCTACTATGTGCCAGGCTATACATATATGTAATTTTTTATCTCATAGCACTTTGTGGCCCACTTTAAAAATAAGGAAACTGAAGCTGAGAAAGAGTGAAGTTATTCAATTAAGAGGCCACGCTGAGATTCAGGCCTAGATCTTCCTAATATGCACCATAGCCCACTGTAACTTTAAAGCAACCTACCTTATTTTCACAAACATCCCACAGCTCATCTATGGAAATGTATGTTGTCCTCGTCAGATCTTGGGAGGTTCTGATACCTCTAATCCTACCACCACCTGTTTAAAATTATACTCTTTTGAAATGCTTTCTGAGCTTGTGGCCATTTCTTTTGAATGACCTCTATAGAAGTACATCATTGTTCAAGGGATGGGTGGGTTTGATACTTGCAAACAGCCAAAGGATTTACAGTCACATTTAGAAAAAAACACACATCATAATCTCTAAGGGTAACCTCATTTGGGGAACATAATTAATTAAATTACTTTTACATGCTTTATAATAACCCTACACTGTGAAGATGTTTCCTAAAGAGGGATTCCAAAAGGCCATCAGCCTCATCACTAGGTGACATCTTTGAAGGTAATCACTTGGAGGAAGCTCTCTTCCTTTGCATGCTTAGTAAGTTTGGACAATTAGAAACATGGATGTACAGTACAGGAGGAAAATCACTGCTAAAATATAGATTTGCCATATGTGCATATAGGAGTTAGGGCAAACCATAGTCTATGAAATTGCCCATAGTAAGCATTTAGTGGAGGGGAGAAGACAGCCTTGGGCAGGACTCTGGAAAGAGCCAACTTTGGGTGGGAAGAGACCCCAATGTCAGTAAGATATCTGGGAAGATGAAGATATGAGAGAAATGAGAAAACAGAGATCAGCTGGAAGTCCTGGACAGTAGAGAGGGAGAAGCATTTAGCGGAGGGAGAAAGATGGGACGGTTAAGAGCAGGGACTCCCAGTCCGTGTGTTGAAGACCCGGGCAAGGGCACAGGAAGAAGAGGCGTGGGAGTAGAGCCAGGAGCCTAAGAACCCATAAGCACACTAAACATTTGATGCAGTTCAAAATTCAAACGTCTCCCATAATACATACGACAATTTTCTAATTTATATCGGGGCTTCGAGTTCACCCCAGTATTCCCTAGCGTTGGCTCCAAATCCATGGGCTGCCTTTTAAGATCAGATTTGCACTGCAAACTCTGGACTTGTTCCTGTGAGGAGGACATCGAAGGACACATGCTCCAAGTTTCACAGTGCTATGTACAGTTCATAGTACCCATCATAGTTAATCCCACTTACAAATTTATAGATTATCCCTCCAAACTGACAGTGAAACTCTTGAAGAGCAGAAACCGTACTCCCCAGAAAGTAGCAATCTGGGGCATTTGCGAGTCTCTCAAAGGTTTCTTGATGTTACTGAAATATCCAGAAGACAGGAGTTTACAGTCATGAGGTTCAAACATCCAATGACTGAGGTTCTCACTGTTTACCTGGAAGCTCGACTTTCATGTGGACTGCATGAATGTTTCCCTTCTCAAACTTTCCACCATTTCTTCATTCAAAAACTTGTGAATGCCTAGTATATACCAAGCACTCTGCTAGAAACTATGCCTGAGCATTCTGCCAGGATATGCATAGGTAACTTCCCTGGTGCCCGAGTTCCACTGCTGAGGGATGCTTACAAAACCCAACTCATTCACCTTTATAAACTTTTAAAAGGTTTTATTTTTAAAAATAACAGCTTTATTGATATATAGTTCATATACCATACAATTTGCCTTTTTAAAGCCTATACTTGGGTAGTTTTCAGTATATTTACAGAGTTGTGCAATCATCACCACTATTTAATTTTCATCACCCTAAAAAGAAACCCTGTACCCTTTAGCAGTCACTCGCCATTCCCTGCTCTGTCCACCCTCTGGCAATCACTAACCCGCTTTCTGTCTCTATGATTTGCTTATTCTGGACATTTCATGTAAATGGAATTATACAATATGTGGTTACTTGTGACTGGCTTCATTAATTTAGCATGTTTTCAAGGTTTATCCATATTGCAGCATGTATCAGTACTTCATTTTTTATGGCTAAATAATATTCCATGGTATAGATAGACCACATTCTGTTTATCCATTCATCAATTGATAGACATTTGGGTTGTTTCCACTTCTTGGCTAGGAAGAACAATGTTGCTATGAACATTCATGCGCAAGTTTTTGTGTGGACACGTTTTCATTTCTCTTGGGTATGTACGTAGGAGTGGGATAGCTGGGCCTTGTGATAATTCCATGCTAAAGTTTCTGAGGAACGGACAAGCCGTTTTCCAAGACAGCTGCAGCGGTTTACATTTCCACCAGCAAGGCCTGAGGGCTTAGAGGTTTACATTTTAACTTACTATGTGTTCCAACAAAATCAAGCCGCGGATTTTTTAATTTGATAGTTTCACTGTACTGATAACCATCTTGCGCCTTCTAAAGCAAAGACACGCAATATCTTTTCTTCACTGGACATTAAGTGAAATAATACTCCAGTAGTTTCCTGTTTTATTTCTTCTAGCCAAGGAGAGATGACAGAAGCAATTAAATACTTGAAAAAAGTTGTGAAAATTGCACGGAACAACTTTCAAAGCCTAGATATTGTGAGAGCAAGCACAATGCTTGGTGACATCTACAACGAAAAAGTGAGTACATGTGTTTCTTGCGTATGGGGGAAACGTAGCTTTAAAATTCTATTCCCCTTTGACCCTCCCTTCCCCCCAACATGTTATGCAGAATGGCCCCAGGACTGCAGGACCTGGTTGATGCCCAGGGAAGTAACTGGAAAGAGAAACGCCTTTCTTCCTCTCCTTCCAGGACCTGAGTGCCGTGCGGGCACAGTCACCACAGCTGCTGACACCGATTCACATGTTCACAGCCGCTGCAGGCCCTAAGTACTTTCAGATTTGAAGAGCAGTTAAAATATTTAAATTCAAAGCAACTTCATTAGAACAGTTGGCTCTTATCTGCCGACACTGACGTTCATCTCTCTTGCTCCAAATTCTTGTTTTACTGACCGGCTGGGATGCCCCTGGTAGGCCCCTCAGGAGAAGAAAGGACAATCCCAAGAGCAGTTCTGAAGGAAATATGTAATTCCAGCAACAGATTGGTTATGGGGAAAAAGAGAGAGAGACAAGGGGGAAAAGGCTAAAGCAAAAGTATCTCATTCAAGAGGCTGTGACTGCTGAAACGCATTGGCCATATGGACTTTTCATTTATTTTCTCCTGACTTTCCCTTCTATTACCCAGGTTCTCCTTTGAAAATGGTATGAAGGAGGCTTGTTTCTCCAGTTACAGTTGCTGTTCTGGTCATGAGTAGGATCCGGCATTTCTGAGGGCACTTACATCCTCCAACTGTGTTTCTACTCATTGCCTTCATCCTTTTGAGAGGCTGTTTATGTAATGATTCAGAGCACTAACTCTGAGGCCAGATTGTGTGGTTAAAAGCCGAGCTCTTTCAAATCTGTGGCCTGGGACAAGTTAATTACCTTCTAAGCACCTCAGTTTTCTCACCTCATAAGGTGGTTGTTGAGTGTTGAATGAATATTTAGAGAGCCTGGCAGTGGCAGTCAATGCCACCTATGGGAGGGTAGCTATTACTCCCTCCACCCTTACGTGGTATCGTGCAGTTCCCCTCTGCCAGAGGCTCGGGGGGTTTGAGGAACCCAGCCCAGGTCCCCAAGCTTCTAGGTGGCCATGGTATTCAAACCCATACCCTTAACCACCGCAGTCTTTTATGTGCCATACAATTGATTTTCATGATTTCAGAATTATTTGGGCTTTATTTTTTAAGGAAATAGTGTGAAATGAATTTGAATGAATGAAACCACTACGTTTAGTTCCTGCTATGGGGAGCATGCTAATGGGGTGTCTTTTTACACCCCTCTCTTGGGCATTTGCCCTGGCTGATTTGCCTCCCCTCTCCTATCATTCATCATCAGAAAACCCTCTTTTTCTCTTGACTGTCACCCCCCTTCTTCTCTCCTCTTCCCTTACCCACCTTGTTCCCTTTTCCTGGCCCTGTCTTTCTGGTACCGAGCTCTCAGCCTCAGTGGTCTCTCCCCCTCCCCCTGGTTTACCCCACTTTGTCTCCCTCTTTCTCTGTGCCCCCTCCTGCCATCCCAGTCGCACCCAGGCCTTTCCTTCACTATGTACTCCTGCTGCCCCATCTCTGTGGCCTTTCTCTCGTGCATCTTGCATGCGCTTTTGTTTACTTTTTAGCAAACTGGTTAAAAAACAGACAAAGCTTAGGCCTTTGTGAGGCTTATTGTCTATAGTAGCAGAATTGACATTCCAAATAAAAACAGTCGTACCTTTTTAAAGATATATATTTTTATTGATTTCAGAGAGAGGAAAGGAGAGGGAGAGAGAGAGAGAAACATCAATGAGAGAGTCAATGAGCAGCTGCCTCCTGCATGCCCTCTGCTGGGGATCAAGCCCGAAACCCGCGAATGTGCCCTGACTGGGAATGGAACCTCCATCTCCTGGATCCTAGGTCGATGCTCAACTGCTGAGCAACACCAGCCAGGCGATAGTTGTACCTTTTAAAAGGATTGTTCTTCAAAACAAGTGCAGAAGCACAAATCACTTTACCTACCACCAAACAATACCCAGAACTCCACCCTCCATATAACATCAACGTTGAGTATCAGCCTTTTTCTCCCTAATTACAGAAAGCATGAGGAAAATAAAACAATAAACTCTTCTAAGGGGTAATATTCTTATGCTTGCATTTTCTTAACATTATTACCAAGAATTTGCATCTCATCGATGTGTATATTATCCTCTGATGTGAATAATAGTCAAAGGCTGTATCAACTACCAACAGTTAATTTTTTACCAGTTTATCTCTCTTCTAACATACAATTGGAGAATTCCAGTTATTTGTTCAATCTTCAGATTGCATGCCTTCAAATATACAAGCTGATTTATGCACCTTAGTGATTCCTTATGTTTTAATGAAATAGTCATTGATAAATAGTATAGTAGTAATTACATAATACTATAATTACTTTATATCATAGGCTTCCAAACGAAGGTTGATTTGTTAGTAAAACTGTTAATGTTGCATTTAATTTTTGTGCATTACTGTGATTCTTTGAGGACACTTCCTCAGAAAAATCTACTGATGGCTTCATAGGCTAACTCTGGGTTGTTAAATCACGGCTAAGAGTATGATTTGAAAACTTATAACTACACAGATTTATTAGGACTAAGTGATAGTTATTTTTCCTTCTTACCTTTTTGAGAGAAGGGGTCAGCCTTGCTGACATCCTGAATTTCCCTCCTGTTCTACAAGGCGACTTCCTAGGAGACATCGGCAAGGAGCTATTCATCTCTCTACTTTTTAGTTGCTTACGGATATTTCCTAATTGTATTAAGTACCTTCACCCCAGTTATATATCTGAATAATTTCACAAGTTCTTGGCATCACATGCTGTCTATTAAGGCTTTCTGTGAAGGTAAGCGAAGCAGGACAGGACCACGCTGAGTTTTGCTCACCTGAATCTGAATCTGCACTGAGAAGCTTATTAACTGTGATCCTGGGCAAGTGAATTCTTTAATACTCACTTTCCTCATCTTTCAAACGTCAATAGCAAGATACCTGGAAGACTAGCTATATAAGGTTTCGAAATTTAATAATATGTACTTGGTACCTAGTAGAGTTCCTGGCACGTATTGGATGCACACTAGCACTTACCTTCTTAATAGCTCAGACTCAGATATTCCCCTCAGTTCCAGGCTCATTCCCACTGCCTACTTGACATCTTCACTTAGATCTCTTCAAATATGACCTATCAAAAACTGACCTGCACTCATCATCTTTCCCCTAAATTCCATTGCTCTACCAATTTAATGCTCAACCGTGATAGAAAATTATTCAGGCATTTTGTAGGCAACTTCTTCTCCTCAGTCTATGAGCTCCTGTTGTCTGGCCTCATCCAGGCCCATGGCTTTAAACACCACCCACATGCCAATGACTCCCAAATTTAATCTCCAACTCTTACCTCTCCTTAGGACTCCACACTTGTAAAGCCAACTGCCTACTTAGCGTCCAAGACACATCTCAAATTTAACATGATTCTTCCTCTCTTGACCGACTCCTCACCATTTTACACCATCTTAATAAATGGTACCATTATCCATCCACTGAGTTGTTCAAGCCCCAAATCTGGATATTCTGTGATTCTTCTCTCTTCCCTGCTCCATAGCCTAAGCACAAGCAAACCCTGATCTTTATGCCACCAACATATATCTCAAATCCTCTCACTTCTCTCCCTCTGCTACTCTTACCACATCAGAATCATGTGTGAAAATTCCGTGTGATAGTGTAATCATACAAGCTTTGTTTCAAGATCTATGATGTCGTCAAGATCCCATCCTGAAATTGTCCACTAAATGCTTATCAGTGATATAACATTAAATGACGTTCTCTTCCAATAAGATGAATTTATGAAGTCCATAAATTCATTTGTAAATTCTCAAATTCATATTTAAGATCTCCAGGATTAATTGCTAAAATCTTCTGAATTTTATAATAAGATAGGGATTAACTGTAACAGAAATGAACTATGGAGGGTTGGACAGACCTTTGGAGAAGAGATTAAATTAGATATTAAACTCTTAAAGAATTAAAAATCTGGAAATACATCTTAATGAAATTTCATTCCAAAAAGGTATGTATACAAACACTTCCATCTGAGAATTTAGTGTTGTATTTTATTAATAGTGTTTTAAACTAGAGAAATTTACATTAATGCCAGTTCTATGGCAGTTGTGTATGTCTTAAGATTGAAAGCTAGGCACAATTAAAGGGAAGGACAATTACCTCATTATAATGCTTCTATTTTAAGGGGAAAAAAGCACTCCTTAAATGAGATCTAATAAAAGTTTTAGTCATGTAAATACTTACACTGTCAGCTAGCTCAACTACATGACCATAAACTTGGTTCATTGCAGAATTCTCACTGCCTGGAATGGGATTGGCACATAGTAGATGCCTGATGAATAAATGGATGAATGAATGAGTTTGTTTTAACATAAATAAAATAACATACAAAAATAATTCTGGAAATTCAAATATATGTTCATTATTCATGATCCCTAATTTTCCTAACTGAGCCTCCCACATAAAACAATAAATAGCCTAAAGTTCAGGACTAGAACAACAATTAGATATTTATACTTCTCTTTTTAAAAACAAATATTTGGTCGTCATATATTTTCATCTATTTGGTCCTATATCTTTGGCAATCAGTAATTTCAATGAATTTTATTTTCACGTTCAATAATTCTGTTGTTTCTCAATCATGTAATTTACTAATTGGCATATAAATACCTCTGATTGTTTTATTTTTCCTAATTAAGTAATCTTATTCTCATATAAATTCTATGTGTTATACTTTGAAATAAGAGAAAGAATTGCTCATCTCAGCAAACAGAAATTATTATTGATATATGACAAAAGGACTCTGTTTAAATTAGCAAATTTAATTGGAATGAACCACTTGAATAAATGGTTCACCTAAACTGCCCTTGTGGGCATGTAACAGAGTGTTATATGTGCTGCTCAGAACCGTCACATAAGCCCTATTTCTCCCCTTCTTCACAGTGCCAGCAACTTTTTTATTCAATCAATTGACTGCTCTCTGAACTCCAATTATACAGAGGTGCATGGAGTTGAGTGTGCACTTTACCTGAACTGGTGTGTAATATAAAGCTATTACTATGGTGTTTTTATTTCTAATTCCTTCATAAAATATTGTGAGAGAATAACTTGAAAATTCATAATAAAACATTCTCTCTTGTGAGGGTTTCCTTTCAAAAGAATATGCATGTATGTTTTTGTTTATGTGTATGAGACAGAAAGTAAGGAGAGGGGAGGGGAAGGGGGAGAGG